GGAGGTGTTCAACTTCACACCTACCTGTGGAAGAGTTCACAGAATTGTGGAATCACGGAATGGTTTGGGTTGAAAGGGAACTTTGAGAGCAACCAGTCCCACCCCCTGCCATGGGCAGGGACACCTTCTATTATCCCAGGCTGCTCCAAGCCCTCTCCAGCCTGGCCTTGGAATCATCCAGGGATCCAGGGGCAGCCACAGCTTCTCTGGGCACCCTGTGCCAGGGCCTCACCACCCTCACAGGGAGCAATTCCTTCCCAATATCCCATCTATCCCTGTCCTCTGGCAGTGGGGAGCCATTCCCCCTTGTGCCATCCCTCCATCCCTTGTCCCAAGTCCCTCTCCAGCTCTCCTGGAGCCCCTTTAGGCATAGGAAGGTGCTCTCAGGTCTCTCTGGAGCCTTCTCTTTTCCAGACTGGGATATCAAAGATCTGCTTGAATTTAGAAGAAATATTATCCTGCACCCCAGGTCTTCTACTCCAGGGATCCATATGAGACTAGGGGAGAGGGCAAAAGGCTGTTTATATTTTTTGGTTAAAAAGTTTACATCCCCTCAAAAGTGAATGTTAACCTTTGTTCTGCACCTTCTCAGGAGATCCTGGAGGCTGCACAAGGACTTTAGGGGCAGGAAAACATCCTAAACTGCTCATAGTTGCAGAAACAAGGGCAGGAAACAACTTTCTTTCCTGGCTGAGCAATGCCCGGTCCAGATATACCTTCCATAATGGGGCTGCTGAGGCATAAATGTCTTTTGAATTGCATCTCCACAGCTGTGTGTGCCAGCTCTGAGCTGCTCTGTGTCATCCCAGTCATCCTGAAATCCCTGGGTTTGTTCCAGGAGCTGCCCTCTCCCTGCCCCTCAGCCCCAGCATGCCACAGGCACTCAGTCCCACGGGGAATTTAGGATCAAATACAGTTATGGTATGAAGCCAGAAATAGCCTGGAGAGCATTTGTCTGGCCTGAGGCTCCAGGAGAAGGGCAAATGTCAGCTGATGTTCCCTAAAATAGACACAACCTGCCTGCAGGGGGGCAGGAAAGCCACCAGGCCTGGCTGAAACACGGAGTGTGGGGAGAGGGCTGCAAGGTGGGGATCCCAGCCCCTGGATTTACCTCTGGATAACCCAAATGCTCTCCTCTCTTCACCTCCCTGGGCTCAACTTCTCTTCCTTGCAGAAATGCAGAGCTCGTGACACACAGTTGGGAGCTTGATTCCAACCTGAGGAGCGGCAGGAAGGGTTTTCCAAAAGCACAGGAGTTAATCCCTCACATCCCTCACACCTTTCCACCGAGGGAAGGAGCTTCCTCCTCTTCCTGCATCTGTCTGATGCCTTAAACAGCCAAGAGAAGAACGTAGCTCCAAGCTTCATCCAGCCTGGCCTTGGACACTTCCAGGTATCCAGGTGCAGCCACAGCTTCTCTGGGCAACCTGTGCCAGGGCCTCCCCACCCTCACATGGAAGAATTTCCTCCTAATATCCCATGTAAACCCACCCTCCTTCAGTTTAAGGCCATTACTCCATCCCTTGTCCCAAGTCACTCTCCAGCTCTCCTGGAGCCCCTTTAGGCTCTGGAAGGGGCTCTGAGCTCTCCCTGCATCCTTCTCTTCTCCAGGTGAACAGCCCCAGCTCTCCCAGCCTGGCTCCAGCTGCAGCAGCTCTGGAGAGAGCACCATCACCTCTGGCACCTCTAAAAGCCAGGCTGGGCTTGTGTCAAACAGGACTCAGCAAGATCCAGACCAAGGATGAAAGGGGAGCAGCTGGAAGAGCGCGGTGCTGCAACACCCTTGGAAGCACAGTGGCCGCGTTAGTCATTGAACTGTGGTCAGAAGGAATGTTCTCCCCACCAGAGGTTCCCATCGTTGGAAAGCCAAGGTGTGGGAGGAGGGCAAGGCCTTGTTTCACCTTCAGGGAGGGTTTATCCATGGATTAAGGAGGCAGGGTGGGGCTGTGGGGGTTTATGAGTGTCATCTCCTCACCCAAGCTTCTGCTAACCCATCACAGCTTGTGCAACACCTGGAGGCAGGACCTGCTCAGACACAGAAACAGAGACCCAACAGGGCCTCACCACCCTCACAGCCAGGAATTCCTTCCCAATATCCCATCTATCCCTGCCCTCTGGCTGTGTCCTGTCCCTCCATCCCTTGTCCCAAGTCCCTCTCCAGCTCTCCTGGAGCCCCTTTAGGCTCTGAAAGAGGTTCTAGGGTCTCCCTGGAGCCTTCTCCAAGTGGACACCCCAAATTTGGATCTACAAGGACATTTCTGGGATCACCCGAGTCAGCTCAAAGTGCCAAGCCCCAAGAAGACCTGGAAAAAGCAGAAGTGGTCAGTGCCCAGAGCAGAGTGAGGAGGAAACAGGAATTCCTTCCCAATATCCCATCTATCTCTGCCCTCTGGCAGTGGGAAGCCATTCCCTGTGTCCTGTCCCTCTATCCCTTGTCCCAAGTCCCTCTGCAGCTCTCCTGGAGCCCCCAGCACTGCTCTCACCTGCTCCAGCCAAGGATGACAAACCCAGGATCCATCTGCATAGGATTTTATTAAAGTAGGCATCACCCACAACTAGCAATAGTTGAAAAAATATTATTAACAACATATTTTATAAACTTTTTTTTTTTGTCCTGAATAGGTAATTTAACAGCCACAGTGCTCAAGTGTCATGAGGGAAGTCTCTGCCAAGAAGTCAAACTTACAACTGGTAGAAAAAGGTAGATATTTTGCACCACATCAAGTTGGTTTAATACAGAAAAAAAATTGTGACATCATTACAAGAGAAGTTAATGTGGAAAACATGGGGGGGAAAATATACAGATCATTGGTGAGATTGAAAATGAGCATTTTAAACAGGACACAGACCTTGCAGACACGTTTAATAACATTCCCTGATTGTCACCACAGTTTCCTCCAGACCACTCTCTACAGGAACATTGTTCATTTCAGTTTTTAAAAAATTAAGTTGCTTAAATGGCTGCTACTAATGAGGCCAGTAACATCTTGGCAGGAAAACCAAAACTGTGTTCAAAATGCCGTAGGTTTTAATTTCACTTTTGCCGTGACTTCTTCCAAGGCTTTTGTGTAATTCCACCACCAAGGACAGTGTTCCAGAAGAAAAAACATTCCTGCTCCTCCCTCTTGTTGACTCCAATTAAACTGGAGCTGGGAATGAGGGTGAGGGGTTCAGACCCCAGGACTATGACATAAGGACATGGAGTGAGGCCCATCAACAACTCTTTATTTTACACTTCCTGAGGGTGGAACAGAGGCACTGAGGAGTGGACAAGACACTTCAGCTCCTTTCCAGCCCTTCACCTGCCAGGTCCCTGGGAGATAATCCAGTCTGGATCCCATCCTTTTGGGCAGAGGACAAAGCCCAGACAGTCTCTCCTCAGAGGGTGTGAAGGGAAGGCCGACTTCACCAGCCCATTGGGCCAAAAATTACACTTGAGCTACGTGAGAGTTACAAAGTGGCCAAAGTTTAAAAATTTGTCCTTTCAGCAATGTAAACAATATAAAAATGTTTCAATAACAGCCACGACCCTTGAGCTTAAATACCTGGGAAATTCCTACTTTGGCCACAGATGAAAGGATAAAATACATATAAAACCAAGAGATACAAGTGTAACAAATGTTTCAAATAACTGGGTTTCACCACAGAATCTTCACTGGAAGGTTACTTTTGTGAGGAAACATATTCCCTGCAGGAGAACTCCTGCACAAAGAGACAAAAGTCTGATCATGGCAGGGTTACAGAGAACACAACAGACTCACAACCACCAAAGCACCATCACAGAAAACAGAGCAAACAAGTTGTAGGCAAAAAAAAAAAAAAAAAAAAAAAAAAAAAAAAAAAAACCAAAAAACCACCTTGAATATTTTTACCTACACACACTACTGGAGTACATGAGACCAAAAAAAAAAAAAAAAAAAAAAAAAGGAAAAAAATAAAAGTCCAAAGCTCCCACCTGTAGGGAATTTCCAGTCATTCTGAAAATGAAAGGTATTTTTTCTTTGAAAAAAATAAAAGTCCAAAGCTCCCAGAGGCTGTTCTCAGCTGGAGTAGCTGACAGCTCAGACACATCCATGGAAACTGGTATTTTACCTACAATGGCTTTCCTGTCTCTCCAGTTTGTCATTTCCTGCAGTCTCCTAAGCAGCTTTTGAACTGACACCTCTTCCTCTCACACACCTACTAAAACTCCCTTGTTCATCCCAGAATCTCCTGCGCATGAAACTCAACGAGCAGAACAGCCCTTAGCTGTAGCTAGAAGATAGTTTCAGCTTCTGGATCCCTCTCTGAAGAATAAAAGGGTATGAGTTACGTATAAATAGCATCTACAAACACAGTGCACGTGGAAAATGGGGTGAACAGGAAAGATTTCCAAGGCTGACCCGACTCTACAGTAAGGCTCCATCCTCAGCCCGCCTTCAAAACTTGTTCCAGGGACTCCAAACAACTGGGAGAACAAAAAGTACTTCTAAAAACCCCAGCCAGAGGCTTGGCCTCCCTGAAATCCCACCCAGACTCACATCCATGGAACAGCTCTTCGGATTTCAGCTCTCCCTCTGAGGCTGCACTGAAGGCAGCAGCACTTGCAGATAACAGGACAAAGCTTTGCTTGTAAACCTTGGTTTTTTTAAAGCATGATGAGTATTCAAGTCCTATTCCACTTCACATTTATAAGCAGCATCATAAGAATGCTACTCTGTATGCCCTAGGTATAGAAAAGTGTATGCTTAGACAGCACTGAAGAGAGATATAAATAGGAGCTATTGAGAAAAGTTTGATTTCAAACTAGAATTGCAACAACCCCCTGCAATTTGGAAACAGCTCTTGTGATGTCTTTTTTGTAAGCAAAGAGTAAAAAGGTTCTTGCTACAACCTAACATCCTCCACCAGGAAAAAGCAAAACCTATCGTTCACTTTTTGGGATATGCCTGAAAGGCCAGGTTGGACAGTGCTATCCCACATTGTTTGCCAAGGAAGAGGCAGGAATGATTGGAGAGCCATCAGCCAGGAATAAGTGTTATTTTGGTGTTTTTCCCTAAGTTAAAGAACTCTGTGTTTGTCAGCAGTGTTGTGTTTGGGGACAGCACCCAGTGCTGTTGTTTAGTATCTAAAGGACATTCCAGCTACAGGACATCTCTGCCCAACTCTGTCACTACTTACAAAAATTAGTAACTGACATGCTCTAAGACTCAGAAAATTAGAAACTAAAATACAGCCATTTCTTCCTGGTCCTCTGTGGAAATCTGGAAACATCTGAAATCATTTCAGTTAGCTTGGGCAATCCTAGAGTCAGACCCAAGGTAGCTAAACATGGTGGTCACCAGCTCGGGGAGGTCATAATCATGTTTCCAACCCCAGTCCCTGCGGGCGTTGCTGTCGTCGAAGTTCATGGGCCAGCTGTCAGCTGCAGGGGAAAAAAAGAAAAAGAACCAAGAAAGGTGAGGTTTAGGAAAATATCTCTCTGAACTTTGAGATGTTTCATCATTACTAAAGCTGAATTTTGAACCTTAAGACTTGAACTGCACAGGAGCAATTTGTCAGTTCCTAAAAAGAAAAGAGACTTTATGACTTTATTTCACCCCAGTGATGTTTTTTCCTACCAGTTGCCAGGGAAAATACTAACCTATGGCCTGCCTGACTTGATCCACGTTGTAGGTCATCTGGAGCTCAGGGACATACTTCTGCACCTCCTGGGCCAGCTCCTCAGGAGTGAAGCTCATGGCACTGATGTTGTAGGTCCTCATGGTCAGGGATTCTGCAGGGGCTTCCATGATCTCCAGCGTGGCTTTCAGGCAGTCATCGATGTACATCATGGGCAGCCGGGTGTCTGGCCTCAGGTAACACTTGAATTTCCCAGTCTTTATGGCATCATGGAAAATCTGGACAGCATAATCTGGGAAAGAGGATAATGGATGTGTGTGATCTGTGTTGTGCATTTCATAACAGTCAACAAACCTCAGACCAACCCCAAAGTCGCCTGTCTCAAATCTGGCAGCAGGACTGTGTGATATTCACAATGAAATTACAAAGTGGTTTGGGTTGGAAGGGAGATTAAAGATCATCAAGCTCCAATCCCCTGCCATGGGAAGGGATGCTACTGACTATCCCAGGCTGCTCCAAGCCCCATTGAACCTGGCCTTGAATATTTCCAGGGATGGGGCAGCCACAGCTTCTCTGTGCACCCTGTGCCAGGGCCTCACCACCTTCACAGGGAAGACTTTCTTCCCAATATCTCATCCATCCCTGCTCTCTGGCAGTGGGAAGCCATTCCCCCTTGTCCTGTCATTCCATGTCCCTGTGAAAAGTCCTCCCCAGTCCTCTTGTCACGCAGCAGTCACTCACCAGTTGTTCCCCCGCCAGGCTGGGAATCAGCAGAGATAATCCCTGGATACCTGAGGCAGCGGAAGTCCAGGCCATAGCGGTAGTGGTAGTACTGGGGAGGGGGGCAGAAACACAGAGTTACACACCAAGAGTTGGTCACATACCCACTGATTTCACAGCAAAAATCTGACACAGGATGAACCTTCAGCTGTCCCAGGACAGGGATAAAGGAAAGGAATTACTGAACAATCCCCATTCCCTGCCTGGCAGCTGATCTCCCTGCTTGCCCTTTTCCAGCTCACATCCACATCAGTAGATCTTTGATCTTTGACATGGATTGTCATGCTACTCATGTAGGGTCTACAATGCTCAGAAACAGAACATTCCCGAGTTTGTGAGACTTTCCAGGATAATACAGTCCTCAGACCTGGAAACTGCATAAAAATATCAGCTTAAAAATGTTGTTTATAAATAACTACAAAGCCAAAAGAGAAGTTGTGCATGTGCAGACTCCCAAGACTTTGGCTTTAAAGTCTCTTTTTGTAGAGGAGGAGCAAAAAGTCATCATTGTGTACCTGCTGTCAGAATGATTTGGGCACTGTCCTTTCTGCAGTGCCATTCACATTGGCACAGAGGCTAAAGCCATAAAAAACAGGGAAAGAAATGACACTGAAAGTCAGCTGTTTGCCAGCTTCCCATGCTTTGTGCTTTTCCCAACAAAACTCAAAAGATATTTGACCTTCAGAGCTGCCTCAGACTATTGCTGAGTAGTAAAGTCTGAAGGAAGGAAAAATGGGGGAAAGAATGAGTGAGGAATCTTACAAAAGCAATGAAGTTCCAATCACAGAATCATGGAATGGCTTGGGCTGGAAGAGACCTTAAAGAACATCCCAACCCCTGCCAAGGACAGGGACACCTCCCACCATCCCAGGTTGCTCCAAGCCCTGTCCAACCTGGCCTTAGACACTCCCATGGATGGGGCGGCCACAACTTCTTTGGGAAACCTGTTTCAGTGAAGTTCTACCAGACCTTTTAGGAAATTAATAAAATGAAAAATTCTCACTTCTCCCATGAGCTCAGCGTGGACCTTGGAGACTCCATAGATTGTCCTTGGTCTCTGAATGCAGAGATCAGGAGTTGGATCTCGAGGAGAGGTGGGTCCAAAGGCTCCAATGGTGCTTGGAACAAAGAGCCTCAAATTGTGCTCAGCTGCAATATCCAGAACATTGTGTAAACCTGTGGGAAAAAACCACAAAACAACAGCGTTTATCAGAACATTTCTGCTTTCTCAAGCCATTCAAGAATATTCTCAGCTGGAAGACACCCATCAAGATGACCCAGTCCAACTCCTGGCCCTGCACAGACACCCCAACAATCCCACCCTGTAAGCACTGTCCAAACACTCCTGGAGCTCTGGCAGCCTTGGGAACGCCACCATTCCCTGGGGAGCTATTCCAAGGCCCGACACCCTTTGGGCAAGAACCTTTCCCTGATCTCCAACCCAAACCTGCCCTGACACAGCTTTAAGCACCCAAACCCCAGCACACACCAGTGATATTGACAGCCCTGGCCAAGGGCACGTTGGCCTCTCCCACGGCGCTGAGCAGGGCGCTGTAGTGGAACAGCCACGTGATGCGGTTGTTCACCACGATCTCCCGCAGGTTCTTGTAGTCCAAGATATCCGCGAAGATGAAAGGACCTGGAGGAGGTGGAAGCAGTGGGAAATTGGATGTCAGGAACGGATGGAAGGAAGATTCTGCGTGAAGCTCAGGCTGCTGTTTTTACCACCTAAACAGCGAGGCTGAGGAAAAATTTTCACACGTTTCCACTAAAAATCAGAGTCCGAAATCCTACTCTATATCCACCTCATAGTAAAAATTCCCTGAGCATGTAAAAACAAAGCACAAGTTTCATTTCCACCTTCCTCCCTCCAAAAGAATAAAAGCACCTCTTTTTACAGCAGGAGCACAAGGTGCCTCAAATAGTTATTCGAGTCAGGAAAGTGGCACAGCAGCAGTGAAAAAACGCAAAGAGAAATATTTAGGAAAAGGGAATAAGAGAAGAAACCAACATATTGGCAGGATTTGAAAGCAGGGAGGCATTATGCAGAAGGTTTGAACAGCAGCTTGTCAGTGTAATCCACTTATCACTGATAATTAGTTTATGAACATCAGAGGTAAAGTCAAGGTTTTTTTTCTTCCATGTGCTTCCCCAGTCACTTACCACTATAAAAAACATTATCTGCAGGCTTTCTAATGTCAGACAAGATCACATTGTTCTTTCCAAAGCGTTTCCTGTGTAAAAATACCCACAGGGAACAGTGAGTCCACAGGTTTTTGAGATAATCCATAAGTTGCTATTTTGTTTTGCAGGAACGATAGCAGATGAACAATATTTTCCACAATAAAATCAGCTACTGCATTAAACAAAAAAAACCCAAACAATCCTTTAAATATCAAAACAGCATCTTAAAAATGATAAAATACTTCTAGTAGCACTCAAGGTCTGCATAAGGATAGAGAAATTTTTTAGGATGTGAAAATATGTTGGGAAAACAGATTTTCCTACACTTTTTTTACTGAAAATTTTACACAGGGATAATTTACTCCCCTGCAGACAACAAAAAGCCACTGGGATTTTTGTAGCTGCAGTTACTTTTAAATCAACTAAGCAAATAAAATAGGGAAGTTGTGACCTTGTGCTAATCAACACAAGGCTGTTGGAGAGAGCAGATCTGGGGGCATTGGAGCACATTCTGGCCTCCCATTATTTGGATAACTTTAAAATATATCGTAGAAATGGTAGAAAATGTTCAAACTGCCACAGTGTTGAGTGCAGTGAGTCGGTTTACTTTTGGTCTTGGTCTAAACTCCCTCCAGCAAAGACTGTGAGCAAATGATAATCTGGAGCTGAGCTGGATATGGACAAGGACATGGATCAGGGAGAGCACTTGGAGCATTTCACACTGCTTGAAAAGATGTCATAAAAAAGAGGAGATAACTGTGCTTGAGGTGGGGAAAAGGAGAAGGAAAAAGAAGGGAAACTCTGAGGGTTCAGACTCTGAATACTCCCATTTAACTGGGAGCAAACAACTCAGCCGAAAGTCCCTCAGACAAAATCCTGCTATTTTGGGAATCGTGATCAATGGACACACAGAAAATACATCAGGAACCCACAGCAAGCACAGGAGGGACAAATAAAATGATGGTGAAAATTTAATTATAGAATCATTAAGAATGATTAAAGAAAAGACCTTTACGATCATCAAGTCCAGCCATTAACATCATCTACAAAACCAAGAGACAAAACCAGCATTTGAAAAATAGGATTTCTTTTATAAACAACTTTCCAGACAACTATTGCTCCTAGAAGTGATGGCTAAAGCTGGAATTTGTCACTCACAGCAAGCCAGGGAATGGTGACTCACCTCAGCAGCTTTGCAAGTCCCACCCCGAGCTGGCCAAGACCACCTAAGAGACAAAAATCAGAGGAAAAGGGGGGCTCACAATGCAGAATTCCATTATTATCTGTATCACATCAAGAATTAGTATGATTTTCTCAGTGAGCCAGGAAGCTTTTACATTTTTTTTCCTGAAGGAACTGGTTTTAGAAGAGTTTTGGAATTGAAATAGGAAAGTTCACATGGGACTCCGATCTTACTGAGCGAGTCAGGAAGCTTTTACATTTTTTTTCTCAAGGAACTGGTTTTAGAAGAGTTTTGGAATTGAAATAGGAAAGTTCACATGGGACTCCGATCTTACTGCCTGATGGGAAACATCATCCCAATTCCAGGATATTTGGGGTATTTTTTTGCTTCCAGAACTGTGCCCTTTGGGGAGGGAGGAGAGCAGTGGGAAAGCTCAGCTGAGAAGCAGGAACCCAGCTGTGCCAGGAATGCTGACCTGTGATTAGCACCCGGGGATGATCCGACTCGGAGAAGGTCACCGAGTGGAAGCTGGCGTCGGAGGCCACCTGGCGTGGGGACACCCCGATGGCCCGGACAGGCACGAGGGACACCCCACAGCCACAGCCAGAGCTCTGCAGCAGCTGGCTGGCAGCTCTGCCCAGGTTCCTGACGATTGGCATCTTTCCCCTTCAGGTGTGCTGCCGAGGAGAGAGACAAAAGATGAGTCACGAGTGATTCAAACCCATTAAACGGCTTTTAAAACCTTCCCCCAGAAAACTCTGCAGGGATCCAGAGGAATTTGATGCCATCCCAGGGCTGGGGGATCGTGTCAAGCAAGGGCTGAAAGCAGCCTGGGATGTAACATGAGTAGAGGTAATGTATTCCCTGGAATGAGCTCAGGAAAATATCCACAGCCCAGAAAAATGGACAGGGAGAACACTGTAAAGCTCAAGTTTAAACCTTTTTTTAAAACATCACTCAAAACTGTGATTTTAAGGATAAATACAGAATAAAACAAAGCTGCTGTGATGCCACGTTTGGAGTGAAAGTTTTGCAGGCTGCTGTGAATAAGCAAAACTCCTCAGGATTGCATCAGCAAGAGCAGCTGAGCCAAGAAGGCAGCAGGAAATACCTTGGAAAAAAAGGGAGATTGACTCTGATTTAACACTCAGGATGGACAGTACCCAGAAAGCAAACAGAGGAGTGGCAGGGCTTAGCCAGGCCACAGGAAAATGTCCCAATTATTTCACATAAGTATAATTTACTCTGTGCTGCATTCAGTTTGAGTTCTTGCTCTCCAAATCTTTCATTCTGTGGAAGGAAATGCAAAATACCCCAAATAAATGACACCTGCAGCCACAACTGGTCGTTTCTGTGGTGCAAATTTAATTCTCTCAAATAAAATCCTCAAGGCACAACCATTCATTTTTTCCTTATCCCCTCTGAACAATTTTTAAATATCTCCCAATATCTAGAATATGTAAATTCCCAGATGAAAGCATATTTCAAACTTGCCTGATGGGGTTACCCTGTCAAATCCTTTCTTGGGGCATATATTCTAAAAAGGAGAGTCAGGTAGATGGAAGCTCTCCACAAGAAATTGCAGCAGTTCATTGCTGCAGATGAATTCCAGTTGCAGACAAAAGCAAACAAGTGATTAATGTGGGTGTTCCTTTCACTTCTTAAGTCACCTGACTGAGAATGTTCTGGTACTTGAGGGAGTTCTGCTATTTAAATACAGATTTGCTAAATATTGTCTAGTAAGACAGCCCCATAAAACTGCATTATTAAAAAAATACATTTGAAGTGATCAAAAAGTCTTGGTCTGAGATGCCCAGAGAGGTGATGGGAATGCCCACCCTTGGAAATATCCAAATTCCATCTGGACACAAAGCCAGGCACCAGCTCTCATGATAATCCCTTCCTATTTCAGCATCAAAGAATAAAATCTTCCAGCACTGAGAGAGATTCACTGGTCTGTGTGACAAAAAATTTCCACTCCAAGTACCTGAAAAGGCATTTTGAGCTTTGCAAAGTACAAACAAAAGCTGGCTGTGACTAAAATTGGTTTCCCAGCGACTGGACTGGTTTTTCCAAACATACCTGGAGTGAAACCACAAAGGCTTAAGCTGAGAATTTACTCCCAGGTCTGACTCAGAACAGTAAATGTATTTTATACCAGGCACCGAAACAGCCAGGCAGCAGAGCTGCTGCAAAAACCTCCACTGATGGCATTTATTTCTATTTCAAATACAAAGGAGGGAAAGGTGTGACTGGCTACTAAAGTTGCCATAAATGCACAGATATATAAAGAAATCAATATTATGCCTTAAAAACACTTCCCCAAATAGCTGAAGTCAGCCCCACACAGTGATTAACTTGCAAAAGCAACTCATACAGGAAAGCTCATTCTCCTAGATCCAAATTTTCCACCTTAAATAACTTCCAGGAGTCAACAGCTCTGAACACATATAAAAAAAATTAATTAACTGATGTAAATAACTTGTATTTTTTATATTTGGGGATATTTTATATCCCAAAATATATAAATATTTTATATTTTTTATATTTGGGGATATAAAATATTTTATATTTTTATAGTTTGGGATTTCACTATCCCAAAGGGGAATACTTCTGTTCTGTTGGGAACTGAAGAAAAAAAAATTACCTATATAATATATAGATATAATTTATAGTGGAAGGTATCCTTGCCCATGAAACAGGATGGGCTTTAAGGTCCCTTCCAACCCAAACCATTCCATGATTCCACAATATATTTTCAAACCCCTTCCCACATCCACTTTTGAACAGTTTCTCACTCCCTGATCTCATTTATCAACTCAAACTGATATTAGAAAGTGTTAGCAAAATGAGGAAGTTTTACCCTGAAACATCAAAGTTATTTCCCCCACCCCAGTAATTTAAACCAATAACCAAAGTTAATTTCAAGGATTAGGCAATGGAATTGCAGCTGGAATTTTCCCTCTCCTGTACTCACCTGGGCCTCAGCTGGTGATAAGGCAGAAGCAGAGCAGAGAAGGCAATTTATAGGACACTGCCTCTTTGGAAAGCCAATCAAAACCTGGCAGAGAGTAGGAGTTGTCCCACACCTTAAGGAAAAAAAAAAAAAAAAAAGTGCGTGTGAGAGCAGCAGCAGCCAGGGATTTCACTGTTCTCTCCTGCTCGATTTTGAAATGCCTGGAAGTTTGGGATAGGCAGGGAAAGGGCTCTGAAGGTGCACAAGCAGCTCCTCCAAGTCCCAGAACCAGCCAGCTTCAGGTCATGGCTGAAGGACAGAGTTTAAATTAATTCATGGCAGTGCAAAAAGATTAGTAGAAAGCAAACACATGTTCCAATGAACAGTAATCTGCCTGGGATAGCAGGAAATTTCTGGGGTTTGTAAGAAGATTAAAGCACTGGGAGAGGGAAAAGAGGGAATAAAGAAAAAAAAAAAGAGACACATTCATAAAATGACATTTAGTGAGTGAACTGCCAGCTGCTGATCCTCTGTGAGGTTTCCAAGGTGTTACATAAGCAGCAACACCTGTTGCTCACATAAAAGTCAAAAATGCTTATGGAAACCAGCAGCTCTTGTAAATTAGTTATTAATAGAATGATAAGAAAGATAAGAAAGTCATGGGCTTTGTCAGGAAAGTCCCACTGCAAGCTTCAAAGAAAATGGGAGAGAGGGAGGAATGAGAGGTCAAACCAAACCCCAGAGCTCCCACAGGATTTCTGGGGCTGCACAGCTGCTGGGATACCACAGGATGCCCCTCCAGGGAGCTAAACCAAAGAATCCAGAACTTTCTTCTTTCTAAGAAAATGAAGGGACGCTGCAGGGCACAGGATCTCACAGATTCCCAACCACATCCTCAGGAACACGGTCCACACCAACTCACTGAGCTCCAAGTTCTCAACTCCTAGCTGGCTCCAAACCCCACAGTTTCTCCTTCAGACCTGCAGATTTGTTATGCATTGGGAAGCTCCTCTAATTTTCTCAACTGTATCAAGAGCTTGAGGAGAAAGGCAGCACCTTCCTTGGGCATCCAGAAGATGAAGCACAAGCCACTCTGCTCCCAGAAAATTCTCTGTGGTGTCCAAATGCTGCCAAGTGGAAACTCCATCAGATTCCTGCATTTGGGAGCACTCAAGCTGCAACAACTAAGGGATACTCTCAGCTCAACTCCAGTAACTGCTGCCTGGATAGCTGGACACAAATGCATCTCACATTCCCTGCTGGCAATTCCTCTGCTTCTGAGACCCCCCGAAGCTGGGACACTGCGTCCCTGCCGGTGTCCCCTGGCAGGGGGGATGTGCCAGGGTGTCCAGGCTGGAGCTGTTCCCTCTGGCAGGGAGCTGCTGGCCAAGCTCGGCTGGAATAACCTTGACACACACGCACGGCTCCTGTCCCAGGGGTGACGCACGGCCGGGGATGAGGCCGAGCCCCTCGCGGAGCCCGCCAAGAGGAGACGTCAGCCCGAGCCGTGAGGGACCTGCTGGGAACCTGACCTCAGATGCCAAAAATAAACAAGAACAAAAAAAAAGGGAGGGAGAGATTACGCAGCTGCTGAACAGCGTGAAACTTCCTGGAAGGAAAATTGGTCCAGAATGTCCAGTGTATCCTGGGCAGAGTGGGCAGCAGGGGAGAGGGGATTCTGCCCCTCTCAGGTGAGACTCCACCTGCAGAGCTGCCTCCAGGCCTGGGATCCAACAGCAAAAGGATGTGGAGCTGCTGGAGCAAGTCCAGAGGAATCCACGGAGATGCTCCAAGGGCTGGAGCCCCTCTGCTCTGGAGCCAGGCTGGGAGAGCTGGGGATGTTCACCAGAGAAGAGAAGGCTCCAGGGAGAGCTTAGAGCCCTTCTAGAGCCTAAAGGGGCTCCAGGAGAGCTGGAGAGGGACTTGGGACAAGGGATGGAGGGACAAGGGGTAGCAGCTTTAAACATAACAAAAATTAGATTTAGGTGGGCTATTGGGAAGGAATTCTCAGCTGTGAGCATGGAGAGGACCTGGCACAGCTTGCAGAGAAGCTGTGGCTGCCCCTGGACCTCTGGAAGTGTCCAAGGCCAGGTTGGACGGGACTTGGGACAGCCTGGTCTAGTGGAAGGTGTCCCTGCTCACGGCACGGGTTGGAACGGGAGGATCTTTAAAGCCCCTTCCAGCCCAAATCATTCCCCGATTCCCCGGCACTTCACCCGGCACAGCCTCCGCTGATGAAACCGAGGAGCCGGGGCGGGTGATGGGCACCAACAAAACCCGCCCGCCCGCAGCGAGTCTGCGGTGAGGCACCAAAGTGCCACGAGCACCGAACCGCCGCCCCGGTGCCGGTCCCGAAGTGTCCCCGAAGTGTCCCCAAAGGAGGGGGCCGCGCGGTGCCGGGGGAAGCCGCCCCTCCCCCACCCCATTCATTCGGTCGCGCCGGCAGCAGGGCGGCCCCGTGATCCCACATCCCCCAAAACCGGACCCCCAGGGCCCCGCAGCCTCCGGTCCGGTCCGGTCCGGTCCATCCCCGTGCTCACCCGCTCCCGCCGCCGCTGCCGCCGCCTCGTCCCGTCCCTCAGCCGGGGCCCCTCGCGCCGGGACCGGGGCCTGACGTCAGCGGCGGCCGCCCAGGGGATTGGGCGGTGACGTCACACGGGCGTGATGTCACTCGCCGTGAGGGGCGGCGGTGCCGGGCGGGGCGCGGCGGCCCCGCCGGAGCTGAGGGCGGGCGGTGCCCGGGCACGGGGACAGCGCGACACGGAGAGTCCGGGGGACGAGGGACATTACAGCTCAGGCCATCCCCTGCCGTGGGCAGGGACACCTTCCATCATCCTAGGTTACTCTGAGCCCTGTCCAGCTTAGCCTGGAACAGTGCCAGGGATGGGGCAGTGACAGCTTCTCTGGGCACCCTGTGCCAGGGCCTCCCCACCCCCACAGGGAACAATTCCTTCCCAATATCTCATCTAACCCTGTCCTCTGGCAGTGGGAAGCCATTCCCCCTCTTCCTTCCACTCCGTGCTCTTGTCCCACATCTCTCTCCAGCTCTCCTGTTGGTCAGCATTCACCGGCCGAGCCACTGTACAACACAGCACTGGTCACGGAATCCCGAATCCCAGAATCGCTAATTCCCAGAGTCCCAGGACAGGTCAGGTTGGAAAGGACCACTGGAGGTCATCTGGTACAACCTCCCTGCTCAAGAAGTGTCATGCCAGAGCACAGGATTGTGTCCAGACAGTTCTGGAATATCCCCAGTGAGGAGACTCCAGACCCTTTCTGGACAATCTGTTCAGTGCTTGGTCACTGCACAGGAAAGTTCTTCCTTCTCTCCAGGTGGAACTCACTGGGATCAGTCCCTGCCCGTTCCTCTGGTGCCATTGCTGGGCCCTGGAGCAGAGCCTGGGCCCTGCTCGGAGCCCTCCCTGCACACAGGGACACCCAGGGCTGAGGGCCCCTCTCAGCTGTGTCTCCTCTCCAGGCTGAACAGCCCCAGCTCCCTCAGCCTTTCCTCCTCAGGGAGATGCTCCCTTCATCTTCTTTCCATCACACCATTGCAATTGTCTCTCCTAGGCTGTACCACCAGCTCCTCGACTGCCCAGATGTCAGAGAGGGATGTAGTACCCAAATGATCTTTTTGTTGCTAAAAATCACCTCTGCGTTTCAAATTTTGATCCAAAGATGCTGCCTTCACATCCTTCCTGTGTCTGTTCTACATGAACAACTGCTAAAACTCACTCTCCCTTGCTTAGACTCTGCTTTTTAGTGCTCCTGCTCTTACTGAGGTCACGGTGGCTGGGCAGGATCTGTTAGATTTTACACCGCTTCCTAAAAGTTCAATAGAAGGAGATCTTTCCCCCTTTCCCATCAAGGTCAGTGTCTCATGTGTATGGCCAAGTCCTAAATGCCTTCAGCCCAAGAGAATGAGCCACCTGGTTGATCTTGGGTGCAGAAACCACCATTTGCTCAGCCAAGAGGCTCTTTGCTGGGACAGAGACTGCGGGAATCATCGTGTTTGTGCTCTCTGCACAGCTGAGTTGTGGCACTGTGCCCCAAAACTGGAGATCCACCCTCCTATCAGCACCCACACTCACAGCTGCTCATCGAACTCCTGGGCAGCCTTTATCGTATCACAGGACAGAGCCTGCTGGCTGATTGTGTGCAGGAGATGGGCGTAGCTGTTCTGAGAAGAAAACTCATCCTAGCAATACTTTTTTTTTTAAGTAGGAGGGCATGAAGAGAATAAAGTTGGTGGAGCTGCATGTCGACAGCAAGGACCCCACTGGGGTGAGGCTGACACCCAGATTCTGCTGGGCTCCACAAGGGAAAACTGAAATTGCCTTAGAAAGGGAAAATTCTCTTGATATCAGGTATATTGAACTGGAATAGGATGGCACTCTCCATTGGATACTTTTTTTTTTTATGCTGTTTGGGAACTTGACAATTCTCTAGAGGACAAGAGTGCTGGAATGAGCACATTCTTCTTGAATGAAGAGAAGCTGAATGCTGGGTTATGAACCCAGGTTCAGCATTTTTGGATCTCAAGCACAGGAATATGCCCTGTGAGGTGACAAATGCAGTCCTACATTTTACCATGGCCTTCAGAGCTATTTCTGCTCAGGGTTTGGAGCTGTGCTTCTTGCTTGCAAATTCTACCTTTTCATTTTTCCTTTCTGGGGAATAATTCTTCATTTGAAATCCCTGCAGCTCCAGCCGGCAGCCTGACAGGAAAGCTGTAGCTGCCACATCCCTGGAAGTGTCCAAGGCTGGGCTGAACAGGGCTTGGAGCAACCTGGGGTAGGGGAAGGTGTCCCTGCCCATGGCAGGGGGTTGGAATTGGATGTGTTTTAATGTCCCTTCCATCCCAAGACTGTATGGAGACAGCAAGGACAAAGCTGCAAATTTCCCAGCAAAGAATACTTCTAAAAAGGTGCTTTTTGGTGCAGTCCAGCCACTGCCCAATTTCTTAAACATCCAGTAAAGCTGCATGGAGCAGGAAGTTTTAAGGGAATTCTTAATGAGCAGCCAGGAGGGATTAGAGGCCTGGAGCAGTTTGTACAAAGCATTTGGATTTAAATCTGATCCCACATCACACTTTCTAAATCTCCAAGCAGAGTCCTGGTGTGATGGGGTTTTGCAGCCTCAGAAGCAGTGCTTGATATGGGAATCCCACTCCTAAATCAAGGATAGAATCATAGAATCTTTGGGTTATTAGTGTTGGAAGTGACCTCAAGGACCAGCCAGGTTCTCCTGCTGTTTCTGTCTGAGGGAGTGGGTGACTTCTGACAGCACAAGGAGCTGCCCACAGGGGAGGCTTGTGCATTGCTGCCCTCCTCAGGGGAGCCCTGGAGGGTGTGGGGCAGTGGGATGTCCTCTGAAGGACAAAGGGACAAACTGCTGGCAAGCAGAATTCCATGTTTGGTGGAATTGATTGGAATTCCATGTTTGTTGGATTTGATCTCTCAATTTGATCCAGGAACTCTTCAGACAGAAGCAGATCAAATCCTCCTTTCCCTGAACTGATCCTGACAAGTCTTCTCATTCCCAGAAGCACTTGTACAAAGAACTTCCAGATCCTTCTCCTCTGGATTCTTTCTGCTGAGCTGTACCTCCAGCAAACAACATTATTACTTCCCCCCCACACCCTTATTCCAAAGACATCTGTATTTCATAACCACAAACATTAACTCCCTGAGCAATCTTGAAGAACAAAGGCTTTGAGATAAGATTATCTTGCCACAGAGGTGTTTATAAGCCTCTTTTCCCCCTCTCATTCCCTCCTGCTTAGGAATTCCACCCCTTGGCAGACAGGTTGGGATTGTTATGTAACAGCTTAACTACACGTAATTAGAGGGCACAAAATTATAGATGGAGCAGGGATATTATCTAGTGTGGATGGCACAAACGTACCAGAGTTTCTAAAGCACATGGGTGAGTTTGTGGAGGAGAAAAACATTAGTGATGAGTGACTGTAAATCCCCTGGATGTGCAGTGACAGTGTCTGGTTCAGAAAGTCCTTCAGCTGCAGATCCCAGAGTCTGAGAGTACTGTGGGGAAAAAGCTGCTGCTGGGAACAAAGGAGCAGGATTAGGAGGATCTTGCCTTGATTTGCTGGGGTTGCTTTTATGTTCTGAGTTGGGTTCCCTGAGTGATGAGCAATTCCTGCCTCAGCACAGCAAGGAGCAGAGGAACTCAGCAAACCAACCACTCTATAAAAATGCTGTTTTTCAAAACCATTTATTATGAGCAGGGCATTGAGCCATGAGGCAGCCAAGTGCAGTAATTATATTTGTGAAGTACGGGTCATTTCTGTTTTCTGGACCCATTTGATTGTTATTCACACAATGGAGTCATTTTTATGTGGTGTTCAGCTTATCAGCCTCTATTTTAGACTGCTTGTGCTTGAATCCTGTTTACCCTCCCTCTGAGCAGTACTTTGTATTTGAAGGTGCTGCTGAAGGTAAACCAACCTCCTCCTTTGACGTGGAGCTCGCATTTAAACATATTTTTTGAAACACTGCCTATCTTTCTGAAGTCT